GAGAGAGAGAGAGAGAGAGAGAGAGAGAGAGAGAGAGAGAGAGAGAGAGAGAGAGAGAGACAACGACAGAGAAAGCGCGAGTGCAAAACATGGGGAGGTGGGACTATATACGGTTGTGGCGGGGGGTTTGTGGCTGCAGCAGGGATCTGTATTAGGATTCTCCAGCTGTCATCGGAGCCTTTCATTTGTGTCTCGAGACAACATAATACATAATGCATGCTCGACTGTGGCTACTAATGTGAACGCAGGAAACCAGCAACGCTGGCTGGCCGCAGCAGAAACGATGCGAAATCAAGAGAAGGTCACGCAGGTTAGAAACCCGACATAACTCAATATCGTCCTGTGAACACGCGAGCAAAGAGTAATGATATATTATATATATATATGTATGTATATTTCTATCGATCAACAATAAAACCATGGCACCAGACAGGCGTCCTGAAGTACACTATAGATCTCGAGGCCAAACCAACGCTGTTAACATTTTAACAGTTTCCATATACCCGCCGACCATTCTGAAGAAACACGCGCTCTTTGATGATAAATAAATTTGCCAAATTTACTAGCTGTATTTCAGTTAGAATGTTTAGCTGAACCGCATAGATAGCATTGCGCGGAAGTCCTAATCGTATGTAGTATATGCAGGTCATTGTACTTAGCACAGACCGTGTAATTAGAAAGTAGTCCGTCATTTATCTTTTATACTATAGTTACTAATGGATGCACAGCTATGTTGCTCAATCCGCCTGCCTGGAATGGCGCGTGTGTGCGTAAAGATGTCTGAGGGTTTATATACGATCTGTATGCGTGGATAGAAGCATATGCACAATCACACAGACAAGCTATGTAAATAGAGGAACGGTTATTTTCGGGACGCGGGATTGGATTATTTATATTATCTGGGAACAGGAAAATACCAGCCAAATTTGTGGTGATTCGGGAATAGCGGCAACGCGAATTTGCAATTTTTTACCCCGAAACCGAGAAACCACAATTTTTTTTACCTGGGAAACTAGGAATGGACGCACGCACTATCTCCTACTTTGAACCAAAAGACATAGCGCACGAGGAAGCCACAAACAACGATCTCATATAAAAGGCAATGGATATTTATTGTTTACTACTTTACATAAATAGACGAGACGTAGTAGGCAACATCGGGGTAACATCGATGCAAAAACACGAGAGAGAGATGATTAATCTCCGCGATGATTCTTAATAAAAGATAAGGAAGCCTTCAGCTGAACATACTAATATAGGCTAGCAAAAACATGAGATGCCCAATGATTTAAAAATACGAGAACCTTAGACACATGGAGGCTCTAATATAAGCTATATTTCGCATTTCCCTAAAGGTGAGGTTCGCATACACACGAAGGAATCGTAGCTAGGACATGTAAATATAAAACAAATACTCTTAATTAACGGCAGTAGTGCTTGGCACAGATTGTCCATTCAAGCTCTCCCCCTTACAAGTACACTCACATGCACCCGCATACAGCAAGACATAACTACTGAATGCTTCTCTAATGTTCCACCTTCAAAGTTCGAAGCGGCACCATTCTAATACGGTTAAGATTAGCAACAATAATTTGGGCAAAATTAGCGTTCTTAGTAATTATATTAATGGCAGCTGTACACATCTACAGATTCCTTCGTGACAGTTCTGTTGATGAGTCATGCATCTAGTGGTTTTCATCCCCGCTTCGAATAGATGTTGATTATTTTCACATGTGGTGTACATATATATGTGCATGATTTTTGAGCTGCACGAATGCAAAAATATGCATCGCATATATAGAAAATGCATAGCCACGTAAAATGTTGCAAGTAAAAATTCATTGAAATGAGTGCAATAATCTCAGCATTCTGCCAAAATACACAAGACATCGCGAGAAAAAACGATGCAAAATAATTAATGGCAATATTACATAGACCCTATTCCACCATCAGACCTTACAACTACAACATACATAAAATATAATTGACAACCAATGGAAACACAGAAATGACGATTTTTGAACAGATTCATTAAACGGCAAACTGAAGCATCCCTAGAAGAAGTACAGCATTATATATAATGCGCAGTTCACCGCTTGGTTAGTTACATTCCAAAAATCATCATTGCAAAAGGCTCATTCCCTGATATGGTCGGTGGCGCCATCTAGCGTTTAACTATCGAAGTGATTCTTATTCTTGAGAAGGAATGCAGCGAGATATTCGATGGGGTTAAGTGGTCTGAAATATTCAAAGCAAAGAAAACATCAGTAACGAGATACCTAATATAATGTATTACAGCCATTTCATCCTTAAATAACGATTACAGTGATCCAGGCTTGAGTCCCAGTCCAAACCAGCAAAGGAAAATGGTGTATTGCTTCTTATTCATCTATCATTTGAACACTATGCTAAACGGAAAACTAAGAGTTTTCCATTTTCCAAATAGGCGCCAGGACTGCTAGATTCAAGCCAAATACAAACCCTGCATCCGGTATTCCATAAACAAGAATTAGTAGTCAGTACTAGTCACACTTGTACCAAGCAAGTTTTGTTCCCCCACAGTCACACTCACAATGTGATCAATGAATGTGTTTTCCAGGACCAATCATAATAACAGCCTATTCCCAGGACTTCCTGACTTAGAAAATCACATTTAAAAAGTCGAGGACTCTCCACGTTTTCCATGAGAACCTACTTATAATCAGGTGGCTTTAACATTCCATGTGGTCTGCTTATCGAAATCCTACTACTTCTTATCAGGAGCTCTCTCTTTCTGTCTTTCTATCTTTCTCTCTCTTCTCTCTCTCTCTCCTTCCTCCCTCCCCTTTCTCTCACTCACTCTCTCTTTCTCTCTCACTCTCTCTCTGTCTGTCTCTCTCTCTCGCTCTCTCTCTTTCCTCTCCCCCTTATCTTTCGAAACTCTCAACGGAAAAAAAAACGAGTCTCAGAAAAGTAATTTCTAACTCCGCCGAGGCCCAACAGATGGCGTCAGCGGCGGTCACGCACCTCTCCTTGGCGAGCAGCGAGAGTCCCTGCAGGAGGATGGGCACGATGGTGTGGTCTAGGTACTGCCGCGTCGGCAGCGCCTGCAGGTCCACCTTCGAGCGCTTCACGCCGCTCTGCTCCTGCTTCTCGATGCCGAGGATTTTCTGTGCGAGATAGAAACGAGACGAGTGCGATACGCGTACGAATAAAGGCAACGCGCGCGCACACACATGCCAGCAGGTGGGGGTCAAAATTAACGGACATTCACACAAATAAGCGCAATGCGCACAGACAAGGTGGGGACGATGTGTCAATAATAATATGAGAATAAGGGCGCGGCATGCACGTGGCGACTGATACGTCGGCGGGTGGGGGGTCAGTATTAACAGACACTTGCACGAATAAGGGCGCGGCATGCACGTGGCGGCTGATACGCCGGCGGGTGGGGGGTCAGTATTAACGGACACTCACACGAATAAGGGTGCCGCGTGCATGCGGTGAGTGGTACGCCAGACGGTGGGGGTCAAAATTTAACTGTCACTCGCACGAATAAGGGCAACGCGTACGCACACGGTGGCCGGTACGCCGGACGGTGGGGGTCAATATTTAACTGTCGCTCGCACGAATAAGGGCAATGCGCACGCGAGTGCAGAGGGAAAGGGGAATCAAAATGACTGCACGCGCATACGAAAACAGGCTGCAAGCGCGCGCGGCAGGTGGTACACGGTGAGCATGGCCACACACACACCTTCACATCTTCCGTTGGGTCGGGTGGTGGCGCGCTAGTATCCATGTTCTCTTCCGTGTCACCCGATGCTGCTGTCGTCTCTTTCGGGTCGGTTTCGTCTGCTTTTACGTCCGTGGCGTCCTCGGCTACAGGTGCGGGATCGGCGTCCGGTTCGACAGCAGGCTCAGCGGGTGCTGCTGGTGTCTCCGAGGCGTGCGATTCTAAACGCAGCGACGAAACACAATGTTGCATACAACATGCACAACACCTAATTACGTGAACCGAACGCTGAATAATCACGACACTTCTGGTAATTTCATGAATTTCAAATAACTTCCACGCCCCTTATCACAGTAGAGTGCTGGCGAAATATACACCAATCTAATCTCATCAGGACTGCATGTTCCCTTATAAATCACATACTACATGGGTCCATTATCTGGAAATGCGTGTGAGGGATGCTGACGACAATGCATGTACACAGGAGTAAAAGGTCAAGGAATACACTTAAAGTGATACTAGACTCTAAGATTTTACTGCATACAACTGTACTTACTGTATAACAAATCATCTATACCCACACGTACTTGTTACTAGATACCTAATTTAATTGTTATAATTAATTATACATCAACGCTACGAAATTTGAACTTTGAACGGTGCCATTGACACCATCGACCGTGCTGCCACCCTAAAAAAGTTGCGCATTTCCCAATATATTTTGCACGTTACAGACCGAGGGCTAATCACAAAGGTGCAATTATATTTATACCTAAATGCTATTTAACAAAACCATGTTTTAGGACAAATTTATCCATAATACAACTGAAACTATATGTGGTTTATAAGATATTACAATCCTTTTGCTTTTAAATTAATAAATAAGAAACACCCTCGGTCTGTAGCCCTTGGATGAAGTCGTTTTGCGCAACTTTTCAGATCGTGCGCTTTGAGTGGCGCCACCGTCGTTGTAATCAAATTGTAGTCATTAGTTTTAAAACATTAAAAAAAAATATTTCTAACAGTGATTGAACCATGAAACTTTTTATGTAGCGTAATTTTAACCTAAATTAACTGAAAATAACCCTAGAACCTAGAGTAAAAAATCCCTTTAAATGTTATCTAAAGAATCATGTGTATTATCTCGAGCGTTCTATTGCTAATAGAAATGTTCCTCGATTGTGCCCATTCGTACCAGCATGATGCTGCCCTCTGCTGGGTATAATAATCAAATTTTCTAACATAGCTACTGTAGGTACACAGATGGGTACATGCCCACATGATGGGTACATAACCACTTGTCCAATTAGTTTTCTACATCAGATTGAATTTTGGCCTAATTATGAACATATAATAAGTTCCATTTACTGACTTACACATAATTATAATTACATTACATGTGGTAATCACGTTTGTTATTCTCCGGATAAGCAATTACGGATATAAAGAAAATTGTGAATCTGTCAATTTTTAGTTAATAAACCTATTTCAAGTAACTACTCTGCCCTGTTTAATGGAAACTCATGCAATTTGGTTTTTAAGTGCCATTAGCTGTCAATAAGGAGTGTACTGTAATGGGGTTACGGAATATACTGTTTTTAAAATTTGTGATTCCCAAGAACAACTGCCTTGAATGGCTCAACTAAGCTCATAGATGATTTTGTTTGTTTTACATATAAACAAACATATTTTCAAAACATTGCAAATGTAGGGAGCATATTTTACACCTATTATTGTCCCTTGCTATGCATCAGATGGTACCCCTTATGTCTGGCATGGCTTTGTACCTATAATGCTCGTTCTACCTTTACCAATGACTACCAGACAAGTTATTTCAGCTATTTTGATTTTTTACATGTTCCGTGGTTGGTCACTGCAAGTGGAATGTCCAAGTCACTGTTAAGCTCTATATTTATCTAATGATGGCGTAGCTAGTGTACAAATGCCATGTTGTGAGAGCATTACCAGTCTCCGCAGCCATCGGTTCACTTTCCACTACAGTGGCTGCAACTTCTGGCTCCTTCACCTCCTCACTCGTTGGCACATCTTGTGCTGGTTCTGGGTAATAAAATTAATTAGGAATTACTAAAAACATACGTAAAGTATTAGACGATATACATGTTTTAATTTTGCTTATTTCTAAAATATAGAGTGCTACAAACCTCAATTGGTATACATCACGTTTACCAATGCATGTTTTACGTACTTCAATTATTAGCAGTACTTGCCTGTCTATATGGTGTAGGATTTTTTTGGGAATAACCTTTTATTGTGCATATAGCATAATCTTATAATAAATCATAATTAAACAATCGACTCCATCTCCAGGCAGGTCATCTAGACCCACGAACCAAGTTACCCGTCCCCCAGGTTGGTAAACTCGACACATGGGTTGTATTTTCCGGCGAGGCGAGTTCACTACGGACCCTAGTTACTCTCCTCAGTGGCAGGTCCAGGGGCACAGGGGGCAGTCGCCCCCTAAAGGTCCTCTGAGCGAAAGGGTATTTTAGCCTAACACCCCCCCCCCATCGGGCGGATCGTGCCCTTGATCTCGCATGATTCACCCCCCTTCCCCAGAATTCAATTTTTCATTTTTTATTTACGCTTTCAAGTATATTACATTGTTACATATATCACAACAAGTTTTTTAAATAAATACAGCCAGGGAGAGCAAATTGACTATACAGTCTTCAAGTCAGCCACTCCGCATAATATGCCTCCCATGCCTGTATAATTTAGAAACATGTGAAAACTGCTTGCATAATGATATTACTCGTATTCGTGGTGTCCTTTTTTACTTGTATATTATAATAAACTCACTGAGGACTAGCCTAAAAATTAAAATCTCAAATCACCTTTGGCTTTGTTGATTTCCATCAATTGAAATTTATAATAAGAATTAATATAACCTAATGGTATATTTATGGACACTAAGCGTCACTTTATTAATCATATCAGAACGATAAACAACAGATAGTTCAGGGGACAGGACACAGATCAAGTAACTACAAACTTATTGAAATTAAAATTTCATTCATACCTTCCGCCATTTTTTCACCTCAACACAGTGAGTAGTAAAGTACGGTACGGCCACGAATACGAAAATAATTAAATTAAAATATGTGCTTATTCTTTCTACCTAAAATATATAGATAACATATAAATATTATATCGCATATTTGTATAATATTATATTTTGAAAGCAACGGTGGTATGGTCTCTCTTCTATTTCCTTAACTCTAGGTTCCTAAAATAAAACATTCGAGTTTTGCGGGCAACAATGATGGCGAACTCATTCGAAGTCGAACCAGAGCCTATGGTCGAACTTATGCCGACTGTTCGTGTGATTTACTAACTTGTTCGATGTTAATGAACAGTGAAGGTTGCAGACAACCATGAAACTCCTAGTGGTGTTTGGGCTGTTATATCTGACAGTGTGCTCCAGTTGTCTTCACCTAACCGGGACATGGAAGACGAGCGAGTTCTTTCTTTTCTTGGCAAAGTTTGGGTTTCAGAAAACCAACATTCACCTCAAGACTGACAGACAAGGCTATATCTATGGAAACATCACTTCTAAAGATAACAGAACCGACCTAGCAACGCTCGTTGTTGTCGATAAAGAGTACTTTCTCGGTTATTACCATAACAAGTCGATAGAAGTTAAATCTGATGCGTGTCAGTCGATGTTTACCGTCATTGACACCATCGCATATGACACAGTATGTGCAGAAAATGGGCAAGAGTACATGCTACGTAGGGTACCTTGTCCGATCGGAGGTCTCTGCCCAGAGCACGAGACGTTCGCAGAAACGCCGCTGGTGTCTGGCTTTCAGTTTACATACCAAATATATGATCTCAATGAACCAAGGTCAGTGTAACATGTGCAGAATTTGATACTGATAGTTTGTGACATGCGTATTACTATACTACTATTATATAGCCTAGGAATTTGTTTTATTGTAGTTTGTAGCATATTTGCCTGTATGATCCACGATTATCTGTGCAATAAACTTTATTTGAATTTGAATTTGAATTAGAATTTGAATATATTTGCATCCATTATTATCTTTTCAGTGAAGGAATGCTGATATATAACCACATATGAATCTTGGTGTATACACAAAAATATATTATTACTTTACTTGCTGTACATGCAAATGAAGCTCTGTTTCAGGATTTGATACGTCCCTGTAAGGAAGCCATTATAACTAATCAAGCATTCTCTTGCTTCTCATATGCAAACAAAGTTCTATCTTTATTAGATGTTACATACAAGTCTCACCTCATGCATTCACACCTCACAGAAATCGTAATAAATATAAAACAGCATTTAGACCCAAGTGTTTCACCATATCTCTTTCAAGTTTTGTTATGTGAGTCTCATGTCTTGTGTCAACACCTCGTGGAAACATCCATCATTAATGTTACTTTCAAGGATTTAGGCAAAATTTTACCGGTTTTTTTATTTTCAACTTTATTCTATGGCTAACACTATGTGCCACCTCTGTACATGCTCATCTCTCCATATAACGATGCATGTGAAATTTCAGAGCGTTTTGATTGCCCGCATACACGTGTAGTGAGCCATGGCTGACGTCACTGATGATGTCAGAGACATGGTACAACCAGCATTTTCACGATATTTACTGAGCCAATATATCCATCAACATCAATCCTTCTACAGCTGTCATCTCCAGTGATATGTGAACTATCCCACGCTGCCAAAAATAGTTCTTTCACCTTGTTACATACCTTACATTAGGCACGCGTTTGTAAACATATAGCTTAGTGACGGCAGGCAATGGGCGGTGTTCGCGCATTTTGCATGAAACTGCAATGGTAACCTCGTAATTTCTCACAATTTCTCAAGGTGCATGTAACATTTGAGCAATTTAGTGGTGTTAGTTAATCATGGATATATGTCACAGTAAGTATTAACACAGTACGTTTCACATACGTTCACCCATTTTTCACACAGACGGTCGATAATGGTGTAAAAAATAGAAAAACGCTGATTTCTCCAGTTCGATTTCTGACATAGTAGCCGATGTATAACTGGATATTTCTCTGTGATTACAACTCGGAATAATTAAATTTTACACTCGTTTTAATGGTAACATGTTTCTGTTTGTGGAATCGGGAGAGGGGTGTAACAACTATATACCAACTATCATGAGTATATCCACTCCCAGTGCATAGATTAAAAAAAATTGTCATTTAATTTTTGGCCAATTTATTTTCACCTAATGAACAGGACACGATTAAAAAGAAACTGGACCATAAATATTAGGGGTGTAACGATATACCGGTATATCGGTATATTGCAATATATTTTGAAAACTCGATATATCGCGATACAACTTCCGGATATCGATATTTTACGATACGGTGGTATAACAAGAAATAAATTACTTGACACCTGCCTTTATGTCTATATTATTAATGGGCTCGAAAATTATGCACTGGCGGTGTATATATTACGAAAGCACAATGCCTGCACGACGCATACAGTATTAATGGTAAGCGACCACTGCATGGAGCAATGCGCGGTACTACTGCGCGGGCAGAGTGGCAGAGAGCACGGCAACCAGGGAGTCTATATATAGCCTATGCTCACCTGAGTGCCCGCGCGCGCGATACAAGCTGAAGCGAGCACCCACTGTTTCAGTTTCAGTTTCAGTATCCAGTATTAACCAATTATGCAGCAGGGGTATTGTGTATTCCAGCCACGGCAGTGCCTTCCGAGAGGGTATTCAGTACAGCGTCAAGCAGCTGCTGTGTAAACATGTCCCGTTGTTGCGCGTGGGGGTTGGGGGAGGGGTGCACGAGGATGGAGGGGGAGGGGAGGTTCAAGCTGCTGCTGTGTAAGCATTTTCATCACTGCGCGAGGCGGGAGGGGGTGGGTGGTTGTGGTTGGGGTATTGTTTCCTTCACATAAGCGCCGGAAAGGGTTGGTGATTGTCAGGTTTGAGTAGCCTGTCATACAGGGAGGTGGGGAAGGAGGGTGGGGTAGAGCTCACATGGGGTAGATGAATGTGTGGTTTTTGGGGGAACGTTGTGTTCGCTTGAAAGGCTTCATCTTGCTTCTTTCCTTGACCGACAACGCTGCGACTCTCACATCATTACAGACGTTCTATTTTTGTCCGTTTCTTGTCCAGAGCTAGTTCCTATCCCGAACTAACGTTCATAATAAAGGCGTTACGAAAGCCGGGGAAAGAACGGGGAATTATCCACCAGTGACCTTAGTTTACGACCAGCCAATCGCAGTGCGCGTATCTCAAAAGCGTATATATCGGGTATATATAAAATGTGGAACCGAAACCGAGCCGAAAACGGAACGACGGTTCGAATATCCGAATGGTGGCGCAAAAACCGCGGTTTTCGGTTAACCGCGGTTAACCGTTACACCACTAGTAGGAACCACACGCTCGCGATGATTGGGTGTTCCCCTGAATGTAGTGTGGGCAGCGTACATGGGCGTCAACTTACATGCATGTTCCTGTTCATGTAGAACCTGGTAAGAACCGCGTACGTGGTATGGTCAGGTGTTCACGTGAATGTACTGTCACCACTCTGTGCATGCATTGTATCAAGAGCGTATAAAGAAAGTGAGCGTACAACGGTGAAATGCTGAAACCATGTTGCAGTATTAGTCGAATTAATAAACTCCCCGTTTTATTTTGACGATTTTTTAGTATCAGTATTATTGATCAGCTGTCCTACCTTGTTAATATAAAACAAACCGCATGTCCCTACGATGCCTCTACGCTGAGATAATGAGCGGTGAAAATCTGGTATTTTTGCCGAAAACCGATTCGAGATCAGTTTTACTGCGACTGTCTCTCGTTTTGTGGACTGTATGTTGCTTCCGGTCGCCGCTGTGTAGCGCTGACTTGATACGTTATTACTGCAGCGTTACTACATCCAGCGTAAGGGGCAGGTCATCACCATGGCGATAAATAACAAGAGGTTTTTGTGGAGTAATGGCTGCGTCAATGACTGGAAATGCGAGAAAAGATAGTAGAAGGAAAATAAATTTTATTGTCAATGAATGACGGAAACACGCGAGGTTTCCCGAAGCTATCGCCAGAAAGAGAGACAGTCGCAGCCACTACGTATCTCGAGTTGGTTTTCGGCGAAAATACCAGATTTTCACCGCTCATTATCTCAGCGTAGAGGCATCGTAGGAACAAGCGGTTTGTTTTGTATTAGCAAGGTAGGACAGCTGATCAATAATAGTATACCACAACGAATCGTCAAAATAAAATGGGCAAAGTTTATTAATTCGACTAATACTGCAGCTTGGTTTCAGGATTTCACCGTTGTACGCGCTCCTTCTTAATACGCTCTTGATTGTATCGTGTTATATTGTTTTAAAATGTGTGTTGTTTGTGGTGTAGTGTACTAAGTTAGAAGTTAGCATCCGTGTTAATTGAATGCATGTATCAAGAGTATAATATTGATCCTATGTTGTGTATTCTTAATGTGTGTAATACAATATTATACATTGTTTATTGCACAGGCAACCTATTATAGCAGTCCTCTGTATGTACACAACCCTTGTGTACATACAGTGGCCCATTACTCAGGTTACATCATGGGATACTTACTATCAGGGTTCGACACTAACACTAGTCCGTTAGTCCGAGACTAGTAAAAAATCAGAAGGACTAGTAGATTCCCATAGCAGTTAGTCCGGCGGGACTAGTTATATTTTCCCCGTCCCTCACCGTCCCAATTTCCCATCGATTTTACCGGCGGCAGCGTCTCTCATCCAAGATCCAATTTCGTCCCCATTAACAAGTTTTCCCTGTTTGCGCTAGTCCAAGTAGAGTAGACGCTAGCACGCTCTGCACGCTCTA